GAGGAAGAGGAGAGGCAGGAGGGAGGAAAGGGAGAAAAGGCCGTGGATGCGCACCTGGATGCGGACGGGGGGAACCGGACCGCCACCTCTCCAGCTTGCAGAGCTCTTCACTTCAGAGCCTTCCTGGCTTAGCACTGCTGGCGCTCCCCTCTCCTTCCCAGAGGCGCTAACCGCAGCCTGCGGGATGCCAAGTGAAGCCACCGGAGCGGGAGGAGGCCTCTGGCGTCGTCTAGGTTTTCCCTCTCCGTCTTAATTGTCTCCCTAGAGACGCAGCCCGCACTCTGGGCAGCAGTTTGCTCAGTTGCGAGGCCGAGCGGAGCCCCTGGCAGCTGGCAGCCTCACCTGGGCCACCCCTGTCCCCCATCTCTTTCCTGCAGGCTCCTTTGCCAGCACGTTGCCCACTTATCAGCGCTCCGAGGTGATCCTCTTCATCATGAGCAAGGTCCCACTGCCTTCCCTGCATCATCCCATGGAGACAGGCAAGACAGGGTAAGCCTACCAGCCCTGCTCCCCTTTTTCCTTTATCGGCCAAACTTCCACCCCAGCTTCCCTTCCCGTGTTTTCTCGAGGACTCATTTCTCCACTTTAATTTCCCTGGTCCTGCCCTCACTTTTCTTCTACTCTCAAGTCCCTCAGCAGCCTTTAGTGGGGGCCTTGGATCCCACAACAATTCCTCAGGGTGCCCCACCAATAACTACCTCCCACCTTTGGGGCAAGCCATTAATTCTCTGGTCTGCTTCCTGGCTCTGGAAGTCAACTGCCCTAGGTAACAAGCCTCATGGAGAATCTAATCACAAGGGGAACTGGGCAGGCAAGCATGGGGTCTCTGCCCACATCACCATCCTGGTGAGTATTTGTGTCTCTGGTCTACAGAGAGAACAGGAACCGGCTGACCCAGATTATGCTGCTGAAATCCCTCCTTCAGGTGAGCCTCTCCTGTCCCCAGTCCTGCTCTGCCTCTACAGGAGGCAGCTCCTTCCAAGGGACCAAGAGAAGGCTACCACATACAGTTGTGCAGGTTGCACACTGCACAAATAGCCCCAGCTGAAGGGTGACTAGGGGGCTGAAATCCACCCTGTGTTACACTCACTAGCAGTCTGGGCATCCACAGAGCTGGATCACCCAGAGCAGGCAGGACACTGTTCCTAATTTTCACAAAGGTTCCTTATCAGCTACTGATAGCCTTGTCACTCAAACATTATCTCTGAATTGGGATGGCATCTTTGGTTCCTGCTTTTTTTTCCCCTTCCAAGTACCTCCCTAGGTCCCTTCCACCTGTTTCCCCCTCAGCACTTGTGCCCACCCCAGCCTCTATCTCTCCCTTCATTGGTGTTTTACATTCCTCTTCTTTCCATCTTTGCAGCCATCACTGGAGTCCAGATTCATTATCCTCAAATGCCATCTCATGACCAACTTGTTAAAATCTATACGGACTCCCTAGAAATTTGGAGCCATGGGTCTGAGTGGGGTCCTGGAATCTGTTTGTAACAGGCTCCCCAGGGATTCTTACGCACAGCCCTGCCTAAGCTCTGGACATCTCACAACTAGATTCCCCTCATGGTTGCCCTTATTGTCATCTGTCCTCACCAATCATACATACAACCACAAGAAGAATTTTCTAGAAATGCTGCTCCCCACATGTTGCTCCTTTTCAAATAGTAGGTGTCAGTGTAGAATGGATGTGCCTCCAGATTTCAAACTTCTCAGACTAACGGTGGGAGATCCCCAGGCCCCTTCCCCTCCCTGACTCCCCATCTCAGCCCTCAGCCCCAGTCTCTGTTCCAGCCATGCTGATCTGCACACCCCACTTACTCCCATTCACGCCTTGCCTCCCCTCTCCTGAGCCCACGCCGTTCATGTCCCTGTGTTTTTATAAAGGCTTTTCATGCTGGTACTGCCCACATTTGGTGACCTCCTTGGTCTGTGTACTCCTGCCATTTCTGCTGAGTTTACCCTCACTGTACCCAGCTCCTTATCAAGGTGACAGTTTGGGGGGCGCTCACATTCCCCTTCAGCTGATGTTTACTATTGATGCCACCAGGCTTTGCTAGATCCCCTAGGGCTTGCTGAATCATCAAAGGCATTGTTTTGCAATATGGACTTAACAATTAATATTATTTTGCTGCTTTTGTTTTTTTATTTAAATTCAATTAATTAACATATAGTATATTATTAGTTTCAGAGGTAGAGTTCAGTGATTCATCAGTCTTATATAACACCCAGTGCTCATTACATCACATGCCCTCCTTAATGTCCATCACCCTGTTACCCCATCCTCCCACCCCACTCCCCTCCAGCAACCCTCAGTTTGTTTCCTGTGATTAAGAGTCTCTTATGGTTTGTCTCCCTCTCTCATTTCACCTTGTTTTATTTTTCCCTCTCTTCCCCTATGATTTTCTGTTTTGTTTCTTAAATTCCACATATGAGTGAGATCATATGATAATGGTCTTTCTCTGATTAACTCATTTTGCTTAGCATAATACCCTCTAGTTCCACCCACGTCATTGCAAATGGCAAGATTTTTTTGGTGGCTGAGTAATATTCCACTGTATATATATATACCACATCTTCTTTATCCATTCACCTGTCGATGGACATCTGGGCTCTTTCCATAGTTTGGCTATTGTGGACATTGCTGCTATAAACTTTGGGGTTGTTTTGCTGCTTCTGTATGCTTTAACAACATCGTGGATGCTGTGTCTACTGACGCCCACTGGCTTTAATCCGAAGACCCCCAGTATGAGCACCTAGAAGAGATGTCACGAAACGGGTGTTGCATGTGCGTGCGTTGTGGCTCCTCAGCCCAGCCGTAAGCTCTTGCACTGTCCCTCCATCTCTGTGTGACTGTCCGTGCCCTTAATGCAGCGTTGTGTTCGTGGTGAGTGTTCATCAGCTGGGCCCTGATGGCCCGAACGTTAGGTTCAGAGGCTCCCTGGCTCCTCCTACCCTCTAGTGCTTACCCCTTGCTTGCTTTTAACAACCTAAAACTTGTCCAGGTGGTTGTTGGCGTGTTCAGAAAAGTTGCCTCAGGTGTCCAGGGCCTCGGGTGGAGGACAAGGGAGCTGGGCTGGGAGATGTTGAGAGAGGTTGGGTGCGTTAGACCCCAGGTCCGCCGGCGGCTGTCCATCTCCTCACCGCACTGAGAGCACCAGCCTTCCTAAGCTCGGCCATGCTGGGCTCCCTCACAGGTATCCACAGGTTTCCAGTGCAACAACATGATGTCAGCCCTGCCCAGCAACTTCCTGGACCGCCTTCTCTCCACCGCTCTCATGGAGGATGCAGAGATCCGCCTCTTCGTTCTAGAGATTCTCATCAGTTTCATTGATCGTCATGGCAACCGCCACAAGTTCTCTACCATCAGGTGAACTTGGGGTCTCCCCTCCAGTTGGTGTGTGAAGGGGGAGAAGACTGCCGGTAGGTCTCACCCCCAGGTGAGAGGACAATTCCCATTATTCAGTGGGAACTACCAGGAGCTGATCACGGACATTGACCCTGGGGTCCTGTGGGGGCAGGAGAGATGGAAGGGCGCTTTTCCCAGGGAGCCAGGGGGTGGATTGGAGATGGGGGAGATGAAGAGCAGGTACTAAAGGGAGTTAGCGGGTGGGGAGGAGGGAGGGGGCTGCAGGTTTGTCAGTAAAGACTGGGGGGAAGGGGAAGGGAGGAAGAGAATAATCTGGATCAGTATTTAAGAAAAAGGGACAAGAAAAAGTGGGCAGGACAGAGCGGTTGAGAGCTTGAGGAAAGTGGAGATTGGGCTAAGAACCAGTGCAGGGGGTGGGAGGCTGGGACCCAACTAACAATGTTGGGATAAAGCCCAGTGACACCGCCTGGGCTCTGACTGGCCTTGCACAGGGCTAAGGTGGCCTCTCGTGTCCCTTCCCAGTACCCTCAGTGACATCTCTGTCCTGAAGCTGAAAGTGGACAAGTGCTCCCGACAGGACACCGTCTTCATGAAGAAGGTTAGCCAGTGTGACCTTAAGCCCCAGCGAACCCCAGGTGGGCCGGGCTCTGTGGACCCCCACCTCCCAGCCCCCCCAGTCAGGGCTGACCCCTGTGCCCAGGCCTGCTCTCTCCCTCTTTGAGCACGCTTAGCCAGGATGACCAGCCGACCCCTCGGGGGTGGTGGGGCCAAGCCCCCAGGGTCACACTCAACACCGAGGCCAGAGTCAGGAGCACTGCTGGTGAGCCTGGCCCGGGCTGGGCTACAGGCTGTGTTCTCCCAAACCCAGCTGGGTTTGGGCAGCAGCTTCTGTTGCTGGTTTCACCGCGTCCACCCTTCTCTAAACGTGTCCTGCACGTTTGCTTCCACTGGGGTCTGCTTTAAAGGCATCCTCTCCCTGGGGTGCCCGGCTGGCTCAGTGGGATCAGCGTGCGACTCAGGATCTCGGGGTCATGAGTTTGAGCTCCACGTTGGGTGTAGAGATTACTTAAATAAATAAAACTTAAAAAAGAGAGAGAGAGAGAAGACTCCCTCTCCCTGAGGGTGGAGGGGGGGTACACACAGCTACTGCACCACCCACAGAGTGGTCTTCCTCCCGTTCTCCTTGCCCCTCCCGCCTCCACCCCCCCCCCCCCCCCCCCGCCGCGGCCTTGCCCCTCTTCCCCCATGCCCAGCACTCCCAGCAGCTCTACAGACACATCTACCTGAGCTGTAAGGAGGAGACGAACATACAGAGGCACTACGAGGCGCTCTACAGCTTGCTGGCTCTCGTCAGCATTGAGCTGGCCAATGAGGAGGTGGTGGTGGACCTCATCCGCCTGGTGCTGGCCGTTCAGGTGGGGCCGGGTGTGGGCAGCACGTGGGGGGTGGGATCGGGGCAGGGGAGCAGGTGGGCCGGGCACTAACGAGACCACCGACGAGTGGCTGCTCAGCAACTGTCTCAGAGCCCGGGAATGCGGCACCCTTGGCTCCCCGTTCCTCCAGGGACCACAAGCCATGGTTCTGTTTGGGGAACCACCCAAGAATGCTTCATTCATGGCTGTAGCCCATCCTCAGGCCAAAGGAGACCCAGGGAACAGGATCTTTCAAAAACACCCTTTAGTCCCTAGTATGACTCCAAGGAATACCAAGAGGGTGCTCATAAACCCTGAGTGATCCCAAAACACACTTTGTCTGTAGATCGTCTGGTTCCCAAGCCTGGCTGTGCCTCAGAATTACCCCAAGCGCTTATGAAAACTACATATTCCCATATGAAAAATTACGTATTCCCACACGTGGGGACCTGGAGATTCAACAAGCCTCTGTCATGACTCTTAGAAAGCCAGTGTTCACTAGATAGGGCTTCAGACTTCCAGAGTCCTTCTGGGTGGAAGTGTACTCTCAAGGATGCTGGGGATTGGGGTGGGTCCTTCAGACCTCAAAAGACCGGCGTCTCCAGGGTCCTGAAGCTAGGTGGCTTCAGATCCTACTTAGGAGCAGGAATGATGGCAAACCTGGGAATTCGGTGGTGGAGAATCTTAGGCCACCCGTGCTAAATCTTGCAAGGCCAACCCAGCAGCTATGATTGTCTTCACTCTAGAATTTGAGATTCCTCTGTATCCCCATCCCTAGTAACTGTCGCAACTCTTTCAACTTAACATGTGGACCCAGTTTAGCAAACCAGTCCCGTCCCCCAAGAATCATTCAAGGCCTATATTCAAGGACACAGCATCCTAGAGGTAGGATTAATGATGAGGGTTTGGACAGTCAAGGTCACCAAAGCTGGAACTGCATAGTGGAGAATGAGGTCATCACCCCTCTACTCAAGCACTTACGAGCTCCCAGCTCATGGATTGTTCTCGGGATGATTCACTTCTGCTTTCCCAAGGATGACTTATGTCTCCCAGGAAGTTATGGGACAAATGCTGAAAAAGGCTTAGTCTAAAGAGATGGGCCCTCTCTACAGAAGGTTGGGAGAGGTTGGGCGGGGGTCAGGGCACCGATATAATTTGTCAGTTGGAAAACTCCAAGGCCTCTCTTTGTTGCCACAGGACGTGGCCCAGGTCAATGAAGAGAACCTGCCTGTGTACAACCGCTGTGCCCTCTACGCTCTGGGCGCGGCCTACCTGAACCTCATCAGCCAGCTCACAGCAGTCCCTGCCTTCTGCCAGCACACCCATGAGGTTGGTGTCCTCGCCGCCCTGAGCGCTCAGGAGGCCCTCGGCTCTGGGTTTCCCCAGAACAACTTGTCCTTCGTTGCGCGAGCCCCGTGCCTAGTCTAGGCATTGAGGAAGGGTTGACGGAACAGTGAGGGACAGTGGGAAGTTACTAGAAGCAGCATTTCGTGCTGCGTGACACCACATAGCACGGGGGGCCGGCCACAGGCAGGAACCTGGGCCCCTTCCTCCCCTGCGACCTGCCCACTCTCCTCCCCACCCCCCTGCGCCACCCCCGCTCCCAGAAGCCCGGCTACACACGCCTGTCTTGTCATTTGGGACTAACGCTCCTTTTTTTTAAAAAAAGTTTTTATTATGAAAGTTTTCAGATATCACCAAAGCAGTGTGAGGAGAACAATGAACATCCGTATATCCATCATGCAGATGAAACAGGAAGGTGTTCCCACGTTTGCTTTATCTCGTTTCCCCTTTGTCTTATTTCTTTTTTTTTTTTTTTAAAGATTTTATTTATTTATTTGAGAGAGAGAGAATGAGAGAGAGGAGGGTCAGAGGGAGAAGCAGACTCCC